TACCAAGCACCTTCTCCTATGTTTATTGGCCATTTGTGTATCTTCTTTGAAGGCATGTCCCTTTCAGTCTGTCACTCATTTATCAAAGGTTTTCTCTTTACTCTTGATGTGCTTAAGTTCCTTTTTATATGTTAAAGACACAAGTCTTTTGTTAGATATGTGTGCTATGAATCTTTTTTTCATAGTCTGTGGCTTGCCTTTTTACTTTCTTAATTGGATTTTTAGGGGTTTTTTTAATTTGTGAAAATGCAAATGGTATTACATGTTGTTAGTATTTAACTCTGATATAACAATTTGCTACTGTCTGCCTTTTGAGTTTCTAGTGCTATTTTTTTTTTAAATAAAGAAACACTCGAAATGGGAAGAGGGAGAGATGATAGATCACAGAGGAATTTTTAGGCAGTGAAACTACTTAATGTACTACAATGGCAGATACAGGACATTTTACATTTGTCAAATCCTTAGAATACATAACCAGGCATGAACCTTAATGGACTATAGACTTTGGGGTATCGTGATGCCTTAATACAAGCTTATCACTTATAGACAATGTTCCACTCTGAGGCAGAGCCAAGGGGATATTATTAGTGGTGAGGCTTTCAGAGAAGTGGATACAGAGCAGAGAGAGAGAGACAGAGAGGGAGAGAGAGAGAGAGAGAGAGAGAGAGACAGAGACAGAGACAGAGACAGAGACAGCAAAACTGTCTATATTTTGACCTCAGTTTTACTGTGAATCTAAAACTGCTCTAAATAAGTCTGTGTAAAAGAATCTAAAGATAAAGAAAATGGGTATTCCTATAAATCTAGCTTTTGTAACTGTTCTCATCAACTCACTTTATGATCAGTAAATGTTAGACTTGTTTCGTTTTTCTTCCTAATAAAGCAACACCTTTAATTTTCTATCTCATAACTTCTGCTGCAGTGAGGCTATGCACTCCCTAACGTCCTATGTGGTAAAATAGGACTGTGGTACCTACCGTGGCAGAATTGGTAGATGGAGAGACCTATAAAATTTAGGGTCGAATAGGAGGCCCTTACGTTATTTGGAGGTGTTGCCTTATGAAGGGATTATGAGGCCCCCAGCCTCTCTGGCCTCCTGTTGGTGATGTGGCCTCTCCTCCCACATATACTCATCGTTGTCACCTGCCCAGGGGTGACACAGGCAAGGGAAGCCCATACCAGAGACTACACTGTGCTGTTTGAAAATTCAACCTCCAGATCTGTATTCTAAATAAGCCCTTTTCCTTTATAAAGTTGATCTACCTTACGTATTTTGTTGTGGAAAGAAAAATGAACTAAGAGAACTTCTGATTTTACTTTGCTTATGCAAAAGCTGCTGCTATTAAAGCAACAACACAATTTTAAGAAATCAAATATATACATGTTACTGTGCTCTTCAGTCCACTCTGGTTTACTGTAAGAAGTGTATTTATTCTCTTCATGCTTGCAATGCTTCTCTGATCTACTATCGACCAAATAAAAATCTCTATACTTACGCACACTCTACCTCCACATGTAATTCAGTTATAGGAGCAAGGTGGCGAATGCTCAAGGAGGCCCCTAGAATCTCAATTGTCCTGCATGGTTCTCATGCCTTGAAGCACCTATTAAGTCATTCAACAGCAGTCATCTCTAACTCCAGAGTCCTTTCAGGCCTCCACTGTGACAACTGCAGCTGTCCAAGGTTCTGCAAGTTCCCACCATGGCAGGCGAAGCCCTCCTGGCTGAGAAAATCTGCTCAGTGCTATAAACTCAGCACATTTGGTATGTGCTGGTTACAAACCAAAGTGGAGGAGGCACATATTTCAAATAACCACATGAGGTCTTCTCTCTCAAAAATTCTGCTTTTACAGACTAAGGATTCAACTTCCCAAAACAGAGGAGCTGCATTTTTATTTGAGAAGTATATTCTAACATCAAAGAGGAAAGAGGAAAATTGAATATTGGAAATACTATACTTGCAAATCCCTTAAATTATCCATAAGCTACATTATATAATGACTGGAAAATGCAGCTCTGTATAGGTTATCAGATAAGCCCGCATTAAATCGATATAATGATTATATGATATATAATAGCTATAATAGCACATAATAGTGAGGTGAGGATGGGAAGGAGGAAAGTTCTTATTCTTTGCTGATGAGGAGGTAACTTGGTGTGACTGCTTGGTGATCATTACCCAGCAGAGTTTAACATGCATGTACTCCGTATCCAGACTTTCCGCTTTCAGTACAAATGCTAGATAAACTTTCTACAGCTACAGCAGGATCCAGGTGAATCATTGCACCAATATTGTTCATGGCGGCAATAAAAATGCAAAGCACACACATCTGTGAAGCATAAAAAAGAATGATGAATGACCCAGTGCTGTGATGACACAAAGCACCACGGTGACGTGAATGACGAAAGATCACAAAGCCACCTGGAGCTAGAAGGATAAGGCACAGAAGATTCATGCGGGATGAGGCTGCTCGTATGAAATTCAGAAGCACATAACACCCAACAATATATTTAGGGTGAGTGAGTGGTGAGAAAATAGCAGAGAAAACGCGAGTAAGGTTCAGGACAGTGGTTCCCTCTGAGGAGACAGAAGAGAAAGTGACCCTGAGCAGTGGGCTCTGAAGGGTAGGCACTGATTTGGTTCCTAACCTGGATGGTTGCTGGGTCAGTGCGGTGACGCATACCTGTCATTCCAGCACTCGGGAGGCTGAGGCCAGAGAATCACAAGTCTGAAAGCAGCCTGGGCTACATGGTTCAAAGCCAGTCTGAACCACACAGTGAGACCCTGTCTCACACAAAAATAAAATTAGCCTGGATGGTCAATTTTATCACTTTCTTCCCCTTCCTGCTCCTCTTCATTTTCCCCTCCTCTTTCTCCTTTAAATTGTGTGTGCGTGTGTGTGTGTGTGTGTGTGTGTGTGTGTGTGTGTGTGTGTTACCTCCACATTCTGACATACTTTACGGGATACAAAGAAAAACACATTGACATACAGTTTGGGCTGCCATAATAAAAGTACCATGGGTCATGTGGCTTTACAACAAACACTCTTTACAGTTTTGCAGGTTAGAACTTCAACAGATCATGGTACTGACTGAGCTCCAGGTGCTGATTGAACACCTTCTTGCTGTTCCCTCCCAGGGCAGACAGGGAGCTCTGGCCCCCTCCTCTCCTTCTTTGGACACCAGATCCATCATGGGGACTCTACCCTTATGACTTTGTTTAACCCTAATCAGCTCCCAGAGGCCACAGTTCAATCCTTTCACATTCGAATTAGAGTTTCAGCAGGTTGCCGTGGAGGATAGAAACACCAACATTTAGTACACACGGTGTGCAACCAAGAGTTCCATGTAAACCAGACTGTCTTTACACATGAGGATCCCCTGAAACCCAGGAAAGACCCACACTCTGAGCACAGGAGGAAGGAACCTGAGCACAGCCACAGAAGCAGCCGCCCACGCCGCCCACCTCCAGGTCACTCTGCAGCACATGGTCCTTCATGGAATGGCTGCTGGAGCTCATGGTGTTCCTGAAATGATTTTCTGACCTCACAGTGGCAGGTGTCCTGGTCCTCACAGCTGCTCAGATAGTTTCCTACTTGCCTGCTGCCAAAGGCCCACAGGCGCTGCCAGCTGGCCATCGACTCCAGATCACTTGGAGACCTTTCATCTCCAAGGCCAGTTACCACAAGCCTAAAGCAGCTTCTATGCATGGGAAACTCAGATTTCATTTCTATTCTTTCTTTTGTGCATGCAGAGTCTCTTAGCAATAAAAAACCTAGACCTAGCGAAACTTGGCCCTGTTCTGAGTGTCATCGCTTACCCTCAGTTCAACCGGAATGACCTCCTCTTGTCCCCACCTGCTTTCCTTCCCTACTTCTGTCCCCTGGATTCATTTTCTCACTCCTCCTACAGCTCCCAGGAAGCTCCTGACCCCAGCTGGAGTCTGCTTCTCTTTACCCTGTTCCCTCTCATCTCCTGAATCTTTACTCCACAGTAATTCTGTATGAAGACTTCGCCAGGCCTTCAAGTCAAATAAATCCTCAGCACTCCATGGAATGTGTTATTACCCACATCCAAAAAGGATGCTGACATGCACAGGGCTTGAAGAACTTACCCTTGACCCATTGTAGAGAAATCTCTGCTGTGTCCCCCACACACACCTGCCATCTGCTAGCGGCCAGCCTTCCCCACTCTGCCACCAACCCCCACCAACAATATCCACCCAGTTTTCAGGAAGAAGCACGAGGCGAGTGGGGTGATGCCACTCCCACCTCCGTTCCATCTCAGGCTGACATGTTCCAGCCCCAGCACCAAGTGGCCTGCATGTTGTCTTGAGTCTGTCAACACTTGACAGTGTCTTTCTAATGCAGACACAGTGTCTCCAAGAGCCAGTGTTTCATTTCTTGAAAGGAAAGAGTGCAGCCTTTAGCCTTGGTCTGATCTATTCAATCACCTCAATTTCTCCCACAGCTCTGGTCCTTTTCCTTCTGATACAGTGTCCAAAATAAATCCAGTTTCTCCACTGATCTGAAGCTCACATCAAACTCCTTAGTTCCAGGCATGTGAATTACCACAAATACATCCCTTGGGTCTCCCCCAGTGGAGCTACCTGGCTCACAGCCCTGACAACTCTGTCTCTCTGAAAGAAAAGATGTAAGAAGGGAACTGCCATTCGGGGCTTAATTCTAACCAACAAGAAGAACAAACTGACGAAGCAGAAGTGACGGAAACCTTAGGAAAAAGGGACTGTGTCATGTTGGAAGTTGTTATTGTGAATGAAGGAAACACCGGCTCTGCTCAGACATGTCACTTTTGAAAAGCAGGTTTCAAATACATCAGCCTCGCACCATGGAGAGACTCTAAAAGAACAACGATCGTTATCTCTGAACCAAAAAACCAGGACATTTCATAAGACGACAGATTTTGTATCGAAGCTGGTGCAATGGAGTCACTGAAGAAAAGAAGTCTGGATGTCTAAACACCGTTTTTAGCACAGATTTTAATAGTGTATGAAAATAGCCTCCTATCAGACAAATTTGATAGCCCTAGAATGCTGAGAGAGGTACGGAGCGGACCTAAGACAAGAAATTCATAGTATGCAATTATACTTAATATCAATTAAAGACCTGGAGACATTTCTGAACAGGAAATTCTTTGATGAATATTGAAATTTCAAACGATGTGGGAAGGTAGAGAAGGAATAAGGTGAAGAGTGAGTTTTGGTTGAAAAACAAAATGTACAGAGAAGGAAACGTCGTTTCAGTGAAGTTCATTGTGTGCATGGGCCACAGGCATGGAGGAGAAGCACGAGCTCTGTATTTCAAAGACCACCTGGGTCCTGCCCCGCCTGCATGTTAGTGTCACCTTTGGGGAAGGCAAAATTGAACAACATTATGTCTTAAGTCTTACAGGAAGTTATAACACGTCGCCATAGACTGAGTGGCTCACACATTTACTTCACACAGTTCTAGCTGAGTAGTCCAATCAAGGCACTAGCAGGTCCAGGTTCATGGTCAACTTTCCGTGTGCTGATGACCGCGTTCTTGCTCAGCCCGCCCCCTGAAGTGGATAGGAGACAGAGAAGACCTGAGCTGTCATCACTTCTCATCACAAGGGCGCCAGTCCCTTGACTGTTACCTCTCAAGGCCCAACCTGCAAGTAGGATCCTCCTGGGAGTCAGTGCTTCAACATCTGGTCATCCCTAAACCAATCACTGGCAAAAAAAAAAAAAAATGTCACATAAAATCACAGTAGAATAATCACCCACCTATAAAAGCATAGAGAAATCAGCCAAAATAATCAGTGCAGATGGGCACACCACCAGAGAGAAATGCCAGAGGACTACATGCCAAAAAGAGCAGTCTCCAGAGGTCACAGCTAATAATGAGCCAGGGTGACATTGGAAAGGACAACACAAATGTTCTCCCAGATGCACTGGTATTAATAAAGTAAGAAGCACCTTATTTTTTTCTTGGAACATGCAGTGCTGTATTAACCAAAGCAGAGGCCAGGCATTGCCACTTGGTCACACCTGTGCCTCTAATATCAGTCCAAAGACACTGCTCAGAAGACAGGTGTGGGAGACACAACCGTGCCCCACACGTTGTCAGTGACTTCTGGGTTTCAGATGAAACCCCAGTCAGTGAATTCTGGTTCTGAAAGAGCTTGCTATTGGGATTATGGGGCTTCCATTTGTTTATTTAAACACTCAAAGAATACAGGGACAAATTACCCAATTTCTGAAAAGATTCTGGGCAGGGATGGGAAATCCACTGACAGGAACCACTAACTTCTCTCTCTCAGTTAATTCTCTCCTTCACAGTTCTCTCCTGGACATTTCCTAGGAGCTCACAAAATGCCCTGCGTTCTCCCATTCCACTGAGTCCTTCCTACCACTCTAGCTAACACTCCTTTCCTATGGCCCCCTTTAGAACCGTACTCTCACAAGAATTTTCTACAGATTGTTGGGACTCTAATCAAAATGCTGCAAAACATGGCACTTGTCAACTGAGAAAACTGAAGAAACAAGAGAATCACTGTGGCCTTCTTCTGTCTTTCTCCTCTAAAGCAGGATCATCAAAAAATCCTCCAACCTACCTAGGCTGTAAGTGGATTATCAGACCCTCATTACAGATGGCTCTGCTCCAGCCAGAACCCCAGAAGAATGTAAATACACAGGCCTCACAAAGCTCTCTAATACCATTAAGACACATCTTTTGTCCAAACATGTTTCTCCACAACTATTACCACACTGTTCTCCTCCAATTTAGCATAAACATATAGTTTTCCCTGGACAAGCAGGGAAGGTTTTGCAAAAGTTTCCATTCACGTAAAATTGAGTTAGTAAATTTATTATGCTTTTCTCTTGTTAATCTGTCTTTTGTTAGAAGGGTGTCAGCCATGAGCCGTGCAATGATGAGGAAAGGATAGGACTTTTTCTCCCCTGAAATGTCCCATTTTTATCCTCTGTTCACTTCTCACTCACCCACCTTTAGCTAGTTCTGCCTTCCAACATGGCAACTGTTACTGTACCAACATCTAGATTCTCAAAGGTATCGGTCACTTCCCTGTCCTCGTTTCTCTGAGTCTGGCAGTACTACACACGGTTACCAGCGCTTCCTTCCTGGGAATTTTCCTATCTCAACATTGACAAAGTCCCACTCTTTGGGTTTTCCTCTTCTTCCTTCTCCCCTGTACCTTCCTACCACTTAATATAGGTGGGAATCTGCCTTGGATGTTGGCTCAGGACAGCTATCTGGGCACTGTGCATTAGTTCCTCCTTCACATAATCCCCACATCCAATCTATTCATAACACTTATCATTTCTACTTCCTTAATAGATGTAGGATGAGTTTACTTCTCTCCATTACCAATAAGAAGTCTTGGCACACACTTTCTTCCACCTTGTCCCAGCTTTAACTCCTGTCCTCTGCAACCAGAAGAGTGAGGTGTTTAAACCTCAACCCTACGGTATGGCTTCCTTGCTCAACGACTTGCAATGGTTTCCCTTTCAACCTCGAATAAAATTCAAGTTCCTTATTGTGGCTTAGCAAGTTCCACCGGACCTGACTCCACCAGCCTCTGGGACAAGAGCAGAGCTCAGCAAGCTCCAGGACGTCAGCCAGAATTCATGGCAGGGGTTCAGTAGCAGTGCCATGGATACTCCAGTCTGTCAGCACCCGGCTGTGCCTGGGAGAGGGACACCACCCCTCACTGCTGTCCCTTGTGATGGATGGGCTGTGTGACAGCTGTCCTGCTGGAGTTTGGATGCCAGATGCTCAGGGAATTTTGTATTCCCACCGGGAGAGCTGGCAGCCCTAGGCCTAGAGACCCTGCAGGGAGCTAAGGCCTGTACTGCCTTCCCATTGAGAGGAACAGAAACATCAGTCCCCAGTAGCTGGCTCATTGCAACATGGGGAGCAGCCTGTGCCACTCACAGTTAACTCTGCCCATCCCTCTGTGTTTTCACAACTCTGCACTGACTGCTCGTCCTGGCTCGCACTAAGCAACCTTCAGTTCTGCAAGTACAGAAGCCCCCATAGCTACCCATCAGGGGCTTCTGCATGCCTGGCTCCCTGCCTGGAGCACTCTCCTCCGGGCTGGCTCCTTCATGTTCCATCTTGTGCAAGTCACTCCTGATGTCTTATATCAGTCACTCCTTTCTCAGGCCTTTCTTTCCTGGTGTGTGGATTGACAACTGGTAGTTGACTTTTAACACCAGCTGAACTGAGCTAGCATGGTGCTGGGTGTGGATGGCGCCCACCTGAGTGTTGTTGTCAGCATAAAAAGGAGATCTGGAGAGGAAGAGATGGTGTTTTGGTCTCCTATTGCCATTGGTTCTCCCGGAGGAGCTTCTCTAGCTTCTTTCTTAATATGAACTTGGCTGTTATCATCAGAGGAGTTTGGTACCTCGCTGTTGCTGAGAAAGGCTGTCGTTCACTTTTGGGGAGCTCTGGTTCTTACTTGGAGCATAGCTTCCTGACTCCAGAGGGGAAGAGAGTTCAATTTCCTGGAGAAATTGATCACACTGGCTTCCTGATATGAACTCAGCTGTTCTCATCGTCAGAGGAGATGAGGACTGTGCTGTCACTGATGATGGCTGTGGTACTTTTCAGTGGAGCTCTGATCCTTATTTTGAGTGTTTCTTGTTGGCTCCGGTGCAGATCCCTCAGCCTACTGGCCCAGATCCTTTATCCTGCTGGCAAAAATTTTTTGGCTTCCATCACTGACTTCTGGGCCTGCCCAGCACAGATCTGTGAAACAGACTTGCATGAGACATTGTCGTGGCTCTAGGTCTTCAGCTGTACTCATGGTATAGGATCCAGGCCCTCAGCTGAGTTCTTGGATCTTCTGTATGGACAGATTTCCTACACCTTTTGTATTTGACCCTTTGGATAACTGTTATAAAATAATGCTAGAAATTTTGTGTCCTGTATTAAATTTTTCCTTAAAAGCCCTCACTGCAACGCCAGGTGACCTCCACTACTGTACACTCTTACATGCAGATGGTTTCCTTTGTCACAAATATCATGACTTCTGCTTTCCAATGAGTCCTATGTTTCTTTGTTTAATTTCTTCTATCATGAGGTTGTAAACTCAGAAGGGTAGGGACTAGGCTTTTGTTTTACAAAATGATGGTATTTCAAAGAATTTTTTAAACAATATTATCTCACATAATTACCAGTTTAAAAGATCTATTTTTATGAACCCCTTACTCTTATTATTTTTATACAAATTATTACTACACCATTAACAAAATTGCTAGAAATCACAGGGCTAGATAATAGTACATTTTGGTGTACTTATACACTTGATAAGTACCTTCGTACACACAAAAAGTTGATAAATTGATTGATATAACTTACATGAAAGACACAAGGAGCTTATGACCCTGAGACTTTTCTTATTCATCATTGTATCCTCAGTGTGAGGCACATGGCCTAGGAGATATTAGGTATTCTATAAACATTTGTTGAATTTGTGAGATTAATGAGGCATGCTTTGTCATGGCAGACCTCAGGAATCTGCTTCTATCCTACCCCTTTCAACATTCTTTCCATGGTGACCAATCCTATTAAGTATTTTTATCAATACATTGAGGAAAGACACAGATATCAAGCTAGATCAAATGTATAGGTGTTATAAAACTGGGAGAATAATGTCACGAAGGAGAGATCAAGATCCAAGATCTTGTCAAGTTAGAATAATAGGTCCAAACCAACATGACAGAGCTGACAGCCTTTCTTTAGGTTCAGAAGGTACATTATACAAGAGCAGCACATTACAATGTGACATAAAACTTAGCAGCTTCTTGGGGCTGGAGATTTAGCTCAGCGGCATAAGCGCCTGCCTTGTAAGCAGGCAGTCATGAGTTTGATCCCTGGTACCGATAAAAAGGAAAAAGACAAAAAACAAAACAAACAAAAAAACTTAGCAGCTTCTTTAACGAGTTACATGGGAAAATTTTTGGTGGCAGAAGAAGGCTTCTGAGGCTATAAGACAAATGGTGACACTGTGAAGACAGTAGAATGGTGACTGTGGTGAGTGCCGTGTGTTGAGGGGAGTCCTGATAGGCTCAGTGTGGTATGTCATTGATGCAAGGAAAATGCAAAAGCTGGAGAGTCCCTTAGCTACTTTCTAAGCACTAGAACACAGTACTCAATATCCACAGTTTATAAGAGAGGTATATTTTGGTTCACAGTTTCAGTCCATGTTTGACCAGCTCCAAGGCAGAAAAGACACACTGGCAAGGCCAGATGGAGGACAGTTGGTCACATCATGGTGGCCAGAAAGCAGAGCGCAAAGGGAGAGGCTGGAAGAAAGATAAAGATACCCTTCCAGGACACACCCTCAGTGACCTGCTCCCTCCAACCAGACCTTGCCTCCAAATAACATTCCAGATATGAACTCAACAGTGGTATATCCACTGATGAGTGTCCCCATGATCTAATCACCTTCCAAAAGCTCACATTTTGGGGGAGGTTTTAGATCTAAGTCATAACAGTCTCTTTGGCAATATTTGAGAAACCTTGTCTGCTATATGTGCTGACCAAACAGAGTTAGAGCCCAGCTCAGAAGCTCAGCAGATGCACAGAGCCATCTGAATGCCCAGCACCAGCAGGTGTATGCAATGGTCACTGCCCTTACAAGGAAATATTGGGACCCTCAGTCTTCAGAAGGGTACCTCCCAGTGTTTACATTTGAGCATCATAAACCCACAGCTTCCCCAGGACTTGTGAGATGAGCAGAAGTGACCCACTATATTAGAAAACACTGACTCCCCCACTGTTTGGAGATCATTCAGAAACCTCCAACATGACTCTTGCTTTATAACATAAAACTTATACCTCTCACAGTCTACCCCCACCTCCCCTTCTATGAACTCAACCAATAAATAAGATCAAGTCATATAACTGTCAGGACCTCAAGGAGGTCCAGTCTGCCGATAACAGAGAATAAGCAAGAGGTTGGAAGTACCCCTAGGCCTTAGAAGATAACCCCTTCTAAGATTCAGGGGCCAAATATAGCTGTGAAGAGTTTTGGGTCCCTCAAAAGTAAAATCAAATTTTTGCATTTCCTCACTAAGAAAGCAGATTAAGGTGGGCCTCACTGGATTTGAGAGAGGGTATGACTGACCCCTTTGCTAGGTGGCACAGATGGCTGCCAGCTGGGAGTGGTACTCAGAGCAGGAAAGGGCTCTGCAGCAGTTCATAGCTGCAGTACAAGAAGCTCCTGCTCCTGGGGCCCTATAACCCCACAAAGATCTACAGGAGCAAGACCAAGGAGGAGAATGCAAACCCCATTTCCAGGTGGGGAAATGGACAAGAACTGTGCATGCCAGCGAATACTACGGTTCCCCACCAGCATCCCTCTTTGGACTAGGTTCCCATTCGTGACTGTTACAAATGCCAGCCGCTGGGGACCCAAAGCCATGTGCTGCAGCAAGAATGACCCTCAGCCCCAGGAAACTTCCTCACCCTTTACCAGCCCTCAGCCAAAGAGGGCCCGGACTAAGGAAAAACAAAGACTTAACCCCTTTTCCTCCATTTAGGAAAATTCTGAGGGGTGCTGTCCCGGAGCAGAGCTCCATGTGGGATCCGCAGAGACCTGAGTTACAATCAGATTTCTTTCTGCCCAGGTCTGCCTTGCTGGCTTCCTTAGAAGTGTTGCCCAAGAACTTTCCTTCTCCAGCATCCTTCTGCCAGCAGCTCCCCATGCCGCACTTATACAGCAGCCCCCTCTGCGCCCCCTCTATGTACCCACCCCCTTCTCCATAACTGTGGTTGTATTATGGCACTTTTCCTTTTTGTTTGGCATGGTTTCAAGAAACACTGTTACTGTTTTCAGTTCTTTTCATTCTTCTTTTATAGCCTTTAATCCGGCTTTCGTTTCTGTAACATTTTTGTTTTATCCTCTCATTTTCTTCAAGAGCTCTGTTAAAGTTGTATGACATTTCTTTCTATTTTTTTCTTTCACCATCTTTGTTTCTGAGCACATTTTTAGAGACATTTTATTGTCTATAATATCTGTAAGAATTTGGAAAATCACTTAGACTGGACCATATGAGACTGTATCGTTGTGGTCAAATAATCACAATTTCATATGGTTCAACTTAACACTTATCTAAAGTTTTCCTATATTTTTAGGTTCATTCCTCTAGTTATGTGTAATGGTTGATACATTGTGTCAATTTGAGCAGTCTAGAAGCTTAAGGCAACAACTCAGCAGTTCTACATCCAAGTATGTAAGCAGGTATGTCCTTACCACTCTAGGATGTTGTATGTTGTATCAATTTTAAAAGTTTAAAATTTTAATTAAGTGACTTAGCAGGAGATCAGGGTCCTCACTTTGTAATTATCCAGAAGAGGAGGACAGAGAGATGGTTTGAGCACTACACCCAACTGAGGGCAGGTAATCTGCATGACAATGTAAGGGAGGGAAAGAGTCTTGTTCCCCACCTTTTGGCTCCTGTTGCTTTGCTGGCTTCTGCTGCCTTGAACTGTTGCCCCTCACCATGCCACACTTTCTTGGAGCCAGCTGATTATAGACTGAAACTTCCACAAACAGTGAGCTAAATAAACCTTTCCTTCCTTAATTCTGAGGGCCAGGTATTTTATCTTAGCAACTACCAAAAAGTAACCCCGATACTATATATGTCTTTTTCATCTTTCTGTCTTAGTTTCTTTTCTTTCTCTATCTCCACTTCCACTTTACCATTCCAACGTAATGATCCTATATTTATTTCCCTTTATAAAATGTAGTAAATTATATATAAATGAGGTTAATTACCCACTAAAGAATAATGGAAGAGGAGATGGGAAAAGAGCCGGGACCTTCTCAGTCCATCTTTAGGCATAGCATGAAGCATTTCTTCTGACAAATCTAGTAGATTTTCCTTTCTGGAAGTACGTTCATCTCAATTTTAGGTACTTAACAGCTCGATGGTGTTCACATATTAGATTCCATAAAGGCAGACCCTGAAGAGGGAGAGAAAAGGACTTATTACACAATGAAAGAAGATAAACAGAGCAGAGGAAGAAGCCAAGTTTCAGCTGAAGTCTGGATTCATCGCGATTCTTTGGGGAGTTCAGTGCTCAGGTAGTGTAAACAAATTGACCACATAAACCTTCCCTCCAACCAGGCTCTCATGAGCAGCGCACACTCCCGGCTCAGACACGTGTCATTCCCAGATGGCACCACTCCTCTCTGTTATGGGATGCTCCCTGGGGAACCACAGCACCGACCACTCCCAGCTGCTGTAGGATGGATGCACTGGCCTGGTGACTGGGGTCCGGGACTCCCTCATTGTCTCCTCTCCCTCCTCTACCCTCCGAGTCTCCGGTAGTTACCTTGAGACAGGCAGACACTCACAGGAACTGGGTTTGATAGTTTCCTCGCTTCACTACATGGGGTGTGCTTTTCCTGGTCTCTTTCTGTGTGACATTTTGAGAAGCATTTGGGAAAAGCCAAGGGCGACACTCACATTCTGAAATGAGAAATTCCTTTCCATGAACATTTTTCTTATCTTCCTTTATTGGAGAATATATCATATACACAAAGAATTATGTACAAAATACATAAAAATGTTAATATACAAAAATGATAAAATAACAAAATTCACTAACTTATACTTCTTACCCAGGTGAAGAAATAGAATGTAAGTAATATGTTCAAAACCCTGTATATATCCCTCCCCACTCATACCCTCTTACCTCCACCGCAGGGGAAATTACTTTTTTGAATTATATATATCATTACCTTGCTTTGCTTTCTAGTTTTACCAGGTATATTTATAATTTCTCACAAAAATCTGTTTTTTCTGACTTTATATAAATGGATTTGTACCCTACTTATTATGCAAATGCTTCTTCTATTCCAAAGAAGGCTTTTGGAAGACCTACATGTGGCTTATTCAGTTTCGACTCAGTCATTGCTATCACATTCCTGCACTTTTTGTGCAGCAATAGCGAAAGCATAGTAACCCCTTCTGCTGCTACACATTTGGGCTGTTACCTAGCACTAAAAACAGTGCTACTGATAACATTCCTGAGCATGTCTATGAATTGAGTTGCTGGTTCATAGTGTATTTATATTTTTAAACTCTACTAGACTGCTAGTCAGGGTTCTCTAGAGGAACAGAACCAGGAGGATGCGTATATAATTTTAAAAAGGATATTTATGGACTGGCTTACAAGACCAGGCTGGATAATCCCACAGGCCAGAGAGCCAGAGAAACCAGTAGCTGCTCAGTCTAAAAAGCTGGAAACCTCAGGACAAGAGTGACCCAATGGCGTGTCTGAGGCTGAAGGTCAGGAAGCTCCCTGAGAGTGGCTGGTGGAGTCCACATTCAAGGCTAAGAGGTGGCATCTGATGTCTGTGGGTGACAAGAGCACTGAGAAACACACGTGTTCAAGAAAAGGTAAGCTGGCATGCACGGCAGGCTTCCTGCTTCAGGCACCTGTTGTTGCAGTCAGGTCACCAGCCTATGGGGTGGTGCTGCCCACATTTGAGGCAGATGCTGATCATCTCTAGAAACATCCACTGCTTTTCTACGTGTCTATCAATGCAGGCAGGTTGACAACCATGATTAACCACACACTAGGTAATACCAGGTTGTTGCCCCAAGTGATCGTGTCAATTTATAGTCCAATCAGCAGAAAAGTACCCTCTGCTGGCTGTCCTTATTGGATTAACTTGGTATTTTCAGATGCTCTAATCATTGTTTCTCTAAGAGGGTAAGAAGTTATATATTGCGACACAATTTTAATGTGCATGCCATGACTACTATAGAGATTGAGCATCTTTTTATATGTGTGTTAGCTGTTCAAACTATCATGAAATTTCCACCATATGTTTCATTCCACTTTCTTAGGGAATGCCAGTCTTTATTTGCACAGGAGTTCTTTATTGTGTTCTGGACCCTGAATCAGTATGAGTTATATGGGTTTCAAGGCTTGTTTTTCTAGTCTACTGTCTTCTAAGAATTAGAAGTTACTAATTTTAGGTTACCTTTGTAATCTTTTTCCTCATCATTAGAACTTTTGTGTGCCTGGTGTAAGAAACAACTACCCTACAGTAATCTTCTTCTAAAAATCTTAAACTTTTCTCGTCCACATTTAAGACCTTAAGCCATGCGGAGTTCATTTTTGTAAAGTAGGAGCCTATATTTCACTTTTTCCCACCCAGATAACTAGTGCCACATACAGAAGACACTATTTTCCCCAGCAATATGCTGTGTCGCCCTCAGTGATCACACATCACAGATCAGTTTATACATTCTTCATTGTGTCTCTTCGGTCCATTTGTCTACCCCTGTGCCAAGACCACATCCCCTATTTCTATAACTTCTTTTGTGGTGTCATCTGATAGGGCAAGTGGCTCTCATCCCTCTTGTTCTTATTTTTGAGGAATGCAATGACATTTCTTGATTTGTTGCTTATTTTATACTTGGACAACTTTCATAAAACTTCTGTTAGGATTTTGATTGGTTCTGCGATGAACATATAAATCAATTTGGGAAGAACTGGTATCTTTATGATATTATATTTCATTATCCACAAACATAGTTTGTCTCTTGATTTTAGGTCATTTTTATACCTTCAATAAAGTTTTGTAATATTTCCCCAAAACGGAAATTATAGAATAACAGTTAAGAACACATATTTTGAAGCAGATGTTGAGTTTCACTTCCTTCTCTACAACTGACTAGCCATGCAGTCTGGACAACTTACATGGTCTTTTGGGATTTCAGTTTTCTTAACTGAAAAAATAAAACTAATTATAGTACCTACTTTAAAAGGGTGTTACAGAAAGCATGGATGTATGTTGTAGTCAGGGGTTGCACAGAAAACAATTAGAATCAGGACATGGAGTTTATAATACTGTTTTATGATGGTCATCAGGAGTTAACACAAGAAAATGCAGGAAATCTATCTGCAACATCAAAGACATAGAATATTTAGTCAAGGGCCTAAATCCCACAGCAATATCCCACATGAGTCCAGATGAAAACCTAGAGCTCATGACAATGCCTCCCACAAGTCCAACTGGAGGTCTAAAATCCACAAAAAGGACTCATGCCAGTGTCTGTTATGGATCCATGCCGCAAAGGCCCAAAGATTAGTGGTGGAAATCAGAAAATCCATGCCAGCAGGGTGAAGGAGCTGGGCAGGTGGGATGAGGGTTCTAGGCTGGAGCCAAGAAGCCATGCTCATAACAAAGACCAGGGCTGTCCTGAAAAGCACCACAGCCATCCTCAGCGATACAGAGGCCCCAAGCTCCTCCAACAATACGCACAGTCAGGTACATGCCAGGAAGCCAGCGTGACAAGTTCATCCTGGAGACCAAGTAGCACACGTCTTCCCCTCCAGAGCCAGGGAGCAATGCTCGATGTGAGGACCAGAGCTTCTCCAGGAGAATCAACGGCTCAAACAGCAACTTGTAGGAGAATCCACAATGCCTCAATGCAATAGCTTCTTCTCCAAGTCTCTATTTATGCTGGCAACTTTCCTCAGGTGGGACATCTATGCTCGGCGTCATGCTGATGTAATCCAGCTGGCATTAAGTTGACCACCAGTTCTTAATCCACAACAATGTATCAGAATACGGCTGCATAGATCAAACATTATGTATGCGTGCATTAAGAGCTTAGAATTGTCTGTGACTAAATGTTATATAAGTCTTTTTTTATGTTACTCTTAAATACATTATATTGTTTCCCTACCATAAGCAGCATTTTAGTTGCATTTATGCATAGATTCTCCCAATATATATAAATATAATCAGGGTTTAGATTACTCAAAGCTGAAAACTTACTAAATTCTCTTAATGTTAGTAACTGGTACATTATTTTGATTTTTTGTCATGTCATCTGCAAATAATGCTGCTTATTTATTTCTAGTTCTTATACATTTGATTTCATTTTCTTGTCTAATTCCTTTGGCTAGGATGTCCAGGACATCTATGAAAAGAAGCTATCACAGCAAGAACTCTTTCTTATCCTTAATTCAAAAGGGACAATTTTGTATGTTGCCATTCAGTGAAATGCCGGCTATTGATTCAGATAATGTATCCAGCTAAAAAAGTTTCTTCCTTACTATTAAGAATTTTTATCATAAAATTATGATTTTATGAAATATTTTAATTTAGTAATGTAGTATATATGTATATTTTTAAATGTTGAACTCATCCTGTAGGCCTATAATAATACAAATTTGGCTGTAATTTGTATCTTCAATTTTTTATTCAACATGCTGATTTTTTAGATTGTTTTTGTTTTTGTTTTTGTTTTAGTACCGGGGATCCAACTCATGACCTTGCACTCCCTAGGCAGGCATTTGTATTGCTGAGCTAAATCCCAACTTTAGAATGTTTATAATCATAATCACAAGTTAAATTGAACTAAGATTTTCCTTTTTTGTCCCCACTTGGCTTTGTGAAGTTCTCTTGAATGTATGCCAGCCTTTATCTGCACACTGAAACACTGTTTGTGTTTGGAAATATTTATTTATTGAAAGTTTTGTGAATTTCATATAATTTATAGAGTTTTCTTGCATTTGATATCCTCTTTGGAAAGATGTTTTGTAATAGTGCATCAGTGCATAAATGCCTATGCATTTTTATTTTCCTATGAATTTTTCCATTCTATATGGTTCTTTAAATCATTGGTATAATTTTTCATGGTATTGTATTACTACTTTTTAATCTCTGCTTCCTTGATGCCTAGTTGAACCTCTTTCATTCCTGATGTTGTGTATTTGTTTTTATCCTTGATAAAACTTACAGGGATATGTCAAATTTAACAGGATTTTCAAGGAAGCAAATTATACTCTGTTACTCTTTTCTATCAAATCTGTGTTCCATTGTGAAAATTTCCACCTCTTCTTTACTATTTCTTTCTTTCTTTCTATGGGGGTTTTCTACTATTGGAGTCTATTTTTTAAATGCTCATTCTTTTTCAGTCTCTCGTCCTTAAAATATAAACAATTATGGCCACAATTTTCTTTTTAATCACGAACATAGCTCTGTCCCACAAGATTTGATTCATAATATCCTTAGTGTGGTTTTATTGTATGTTTATTACAAAGTTTCTTTGATTTCTGTTATACTTTTCTGCACTGTTTTTCATTTTTAATTTGTTGCCTAAAAAATGTGGTTTGTAAGATATAGACTCATCAAAGTGAACAGAGTCCAGTCCTTGATCAATTTTTATAAATGTTTTATGCATTCTTGTAAAGAATATGTATTCTCTAATCACTGATGAGTGTTCTATACACATTGGTTAAATTAAGGTCGTTAAGTGTGTGATTCAGACTGTTTCTGAAATTTTTTATCTACTCGGCTAGAAACATTGGGAGTATGATATTAAAATCTGTAACTTAAAGAATCTGTCTGTTCTTTATAGCTGGATCAATTTTTGCTTTATATATTTTGAAACTATATTACAAGATATAGTCATATTTAAAAGTGTTATGTATTTATGCTAGATTAAAGC